GTCATGCATCACATAATGTTTTAATTTGTTAAAAACATCGTTTTTTTTGTAAAAAATCATTTTTATAATAATCATAATCAATTGGTATCAAAAATAGGATTTCAGAGCTCAAAAATAGCAATTTCAGACAAATTTTCGGACCAGAGTTTCGGAAGATCGATCCAGCCCTCTGGATCGATCCAACTAGAAGAAAAACTCCCAGAGGATCGATCTAATGAAGGGGATCGATCCACTCTGTGGATTTTTCAGCCACAGCTCATTCGTCTTCAACCTCGGTCCATTTTTCGGGAAAACCATTTTTAGTCACCGAACTTCAATTAAACTATATAGAGATGTTCTCCAAGGTTCATAGATCATATTAGAATTATTAAAACATACTTTTAACATCAAATTCAAAGTTTAAGATTCTTGGTTCTTCAAACATGTCAAACACAAAACTCAACCAAATGACCATTTATGAACGTAGAAACAACCTATATGAACATTCTAGTCATTAGATATATCTAGGGACTTACCTCGAAGGTAAATGAAGGTTTTGAATGTTTTCCGGCGAAACTTCCGGCAACTATATCTCTCTGCTCCGGCGACCTCACACAAGAATGACAGCACCACTGAACTCTACTCTCAGCAAGGAACAAGATAGAAGGAATAATGAGTTGTTTTGGTGAGGAAATGAAGGAGTTGGCTCTCCTTAAATAGCCAAGTGAGGAAGGAAGAAGACATGGGTTGCAGCTTCCGTGATTGAGCGACGATTTGGAATCGGCGTAATTGAACAGGGCGCCGTTTGGTGTGTAGTCCTTGATTGAGACTAATTTTTGGTCCTAGTCGGGGTACACTTTTAGGTCCAACTTTCTCCGAATTGAAATCCGTTTGCACCGTTGCGATCAGAAAGTCGAACTCGGTCATTCGTTATACTTTTTCCGACACCACATTTTTGGGTGTTTGACTTTAACAGAGTCAAAATTGGTTTAATAGACCTTTCTCATAAAAGGTTCTCTCATTTAATTCATATCAATTATTCTCATGATTTATTTCAACAAATCATTTCAATATTTACATTCTAAACAAATTCTTTATTTACTCTTGATTTGGGTCTGTACTCAGGTTCCCAATCAAGTCCACACAAATAGTCCACATATTGGATTTATCTCTATGAGACTTGTCCAGATTTTGATATTAGATGTCAAAACAAATTTCGTATCGGCCCAAAGCCCAACAATAATTTATTTTAATCAAAAAAAATTTGATTAATTGATTATTTATTCATTAATAATTCTAGGGTATATTTTGGGGCGTTACAAGCCCTACAGATATGCATGCAAAAAGATGCACCTGAAGAAGTTGTTCATTCTACTAGCCATGAGTCAGATACCCTGGCTAAAAACTATGTTTTTAGGATGAGAAAAATTTCAAGGACGAGCACCTCAACCTTCTCATACAAGAAGAAAAGCCCTTCGTTTGTCAGAACCAATGGGAACATTTCATCTGTTACTAGAACAGCTAGTGAAAACTTCCCTGTTGCTCTAAAAGATTACATGGATAGAAAATTTTCTGAGCTTCAAGAAATGCATGTCGAGAAGTGAAGAGTGTCATGGAGAGGGAGTTTAAGAAACTAGAAAAAAAATTTCTCCATATCTTGCATGAGACCATAAAAGGAAGGGGTGACGAGGGGAAAGAAGATGGTGATGATGAGCAAGAGGCAGTGAAGGAAGAAGATGATGGGAAGGAGGGAGTGAAGGAAGAAAAAGATGAGCTAGAGGGAGAGAAAAAAGTCGACCCCTTAGGAGTATATGATGAAGTTAAAGAGGAAGAAAACATGGATGGGAGTCCAATAAACATGAGGTTGACCTTTGATCAGGTATGAGTCGACCACTGCGTCGATTTGTTAATGTTTTTGATATACTTTATATTTTTTTTGTACGTCTTGGTGAGCATCCCTTTCCCATTTTACGCAACATGATGTTTCCATTTATCAGGAAGGCTTAGAGGAATAGAATATGGATACGAGTCCACTAAATCCAGTGAATACAAGGTCGATTGTGGATAAAGGTAAGAGGTCGACTTGTGGGTCGATCTTTGTTAAAAGGTTGACTTGTATTTGTCAATTTTTTTAAACATCTTGTTAAGCATCATTTTCCAGTGATGAAGAAGCCAAGGAATGTTGCGAGTGGGATAATGCAAAAGACCAACACGATGAGATGGAAATGAGTAATAAAATTGTCGATGATGTTATGAAATACTACAAATCAACTTTAGACAATTTTGATGAGGTAATAAGATCATATTTTAATATTATTTGTTATGAGCTTGCGTAATACATATTCCTTAAATATTATGAGTAGAACACTGAGCTCAGTGATGAAGACTTCAGATAACTGATAGATGAGCGTGAAGTTGCTGCTGCAGAAGTACGTAGTAGGTTAAGTTTTATTGAATTTATTTATCCTTGGCATCTTACTTTTAACATCCGAGATTTGGGTCAAGACTGGTGGGAGAAAAAAATGAAGTATTATGTTGGACACCCCCTACACTGGCCATGTATATAAAAAGAGAAAGAGGACAAATGATTCAAGACCAAATGAACGGGAGAAAGCGGAAGAAGCGCACCTCAACAAAAGAAGTAACCCATCTAGCCAACAACTTGAGGCCTTCCATAATTTCCTGTAGTCGGGAATTTCTAATGGTAGAGAAATACAATGTATAAAGGCCAAGAGAGCAGAGCCCCATGCGATTGTAAAGAAGTGGTGGAGTACATTGATCAAGGCTAGAGGCTGGTTGGAGACCTCAGTAATTCAAGTATATATTACTATTATACATGAACATATTTGTAAATAAAGTAACATATTACCTTTTTATTTCATTCGCAACACATGGAAGAAATTACATGCTATTTAATGCAAATATTTAACAAGAAAAAGGCACATTTGACGTCATTCTTGAGTGCTTCGAAATAATCTGTGAGAATAATGTTATTTCTAAATCATTTCCACTGTTGGGCGACGACATTAGGGACATCGTTGAGGGAACTTCCGTTGAGTTCCCATGCGTTAAGGCATGGAAGGACATTGACAATGTTTATTGNGGGGGTCATAATAGCTGAATTTGAAACAAAGTGTTTGGTTTTGTTCGACTCCCTCTAACGATAAACAACGAGTAGTGATCTAAACGCAAGACTGGCACCCATGCTCAAAACGATTTTAGTGATTTGCAATTACACGTCGGCCTACATAACATGGATTCCTGGGGATCATTCAGATATTTTCATAGAATGGAGAGCTGAACGGCCTGAAGTACCACAACAGACAAATTCAGGATGTGGTGTATTTGCATTGAAGTTCCTTGAGCTTTGTGTTCAAAATTTGAATCCTTCAAAACTTCATGGATTTGGTGAAGATGATGTGTTCAATTGCCAACTGCATACACATATGCAATATGTACAAAGGACTTTTAAAGACTTGCTTAACATAAGATTACCAAGTATTTGTTTTCAATACTAATTGAGGTCGACTTAACTTAAGTAATATACTCCATTTTGACACATTACGCATATTTTTTATTTTCACTAAATCTTTATAATAGTGTGTAGAGTATTAAATGATTTGAAAAAAGTATGTGTAGACTTGTGTTAACTAGTCAACCTGTCGACTTGGTTATTCCTTAAGATTCAGTTTCAAGAATGAAGTCGAAACAGTAAACTAGCATAGAATATAGGTAGACTATAGGTAGAAACCATTGTAAGGATATGATTTTATATACCTATATTCGCAAGCTCAAAAACACTCACAAAATATGTTTAAAATCTTCTTATAATCATTTTCAAACATCTAAACGGTTTTAAACAAAATTGGAAATGATTTAGAAAAAAATGAAAAAATCATCAAAACAGTGAGCACGTACCTAGGTACCGTAATGGGTAACGTGAAAATGTGAAAAAATAAAAGTTCTATTTCTTTATTCAAAAAATAGTGTTACAATAAAAATAAAATGTCAATCATGTTCGATTATATTGTGTGACATGTATGATATTTAAAACAAAATCTTGTGGAGTAATATATAAAGTATAATTACAAATATATTATTTTATAATAATTACTGCATAAATAAATTGAAGTACAACGTAACCAAAATAACTTTTTAAAACTTAACATTTTGATATTTATGCTAACTTTATATTATAATTATTGTTTTTCAAAAGTAGTTTTTTTCTTTATGAAAAATAACAATACTTTTTTTATCTTAAATGCATTCATTAAAGTAAAGTGATAATAATAATACTAATAATTTATAACAACAAGAATTAGAATGAGAATAATATAAAAATACACTAAAGTAAATTCTTTTAAAGTTTTTTTAGGTTTTCCAATTTTTTAGAGTTTTTCTAGGTCCTTCAAGTTCGTTCCACTTCCTTCTAATTTCTTCCAGTTCTTTCTAGTTTTCCAGATTCTTCAAACATTTAGCTTTTTTTTTGAGTTCTAAAGAACATGCTCTACGTATAAGTTTGTTGCAAAGTCAAAATTATATATTCAATCTTGGTGTCATGTGATATGATATGTGAAAAGATGATCGACAATATATTATTTGTCAAATTTGGAAATACGTATAAAAGTTATAAATAAAATAGACATTACAGTTTAATAAATAAATGAAATAATTTTAAAAGTTAATAGTCAAAATAAAAAGTTACACTCTTCGTCCAAAAATTATCTTCCCGTTGTGTGTTTTGATGTTTGATTGAAAATTTTCTCAAATCATTTTATATAAAAAATGATGTAAAATTTAAAAATAAAAACTATATATTTAAAAATTAAATTAAAAGATCTACAAAATTAGAGTTGACATGACTATATTATTTTATTAAATAAGTAAAAAAAGTAGGCGTGAGTAAAATTTGATTCGATGAATAGTAAACAAAAATATAATTTTTGGACGAAGAGAATAATATAATTCCTAAAATACATGCTTCAAAAAAAATATACATTCTTATTTCTACCCTTATTAAACCCAAAGACCCAAACCCGTTCATATATATAATGCTCCCGTCTCTGTCCTTGGAAGAAATCGCCGATCGCCACCATCTACCTTCATCGTCTTCTTTTTCGTCGATTCTTCTCACGCTGGTTGGGTCTTCGCTAGTCGCCATCACCAACGCCTTCGTCTTCCCCGTTCGTGCGCGTTTTGGGTTCGACAGAAAATAAGGGACAACGATTCCTGGTTTTTGATTTTGATTCATCGAATAATCAAAGTGAGTCGTGGTTTCTTTGCCTATAGTTTGCGTTAATTCGTAGATTGGATTTATTTTAACGTATATTCTTGCAATTGAATGTTAAGTTGGTTGTTTTGGGTTGTGAATTTGATTAAATTGATTTGGGGATTTCCGTGGGGTTTTTCCTACGGGTTGATGCCGCCTCAGGCAGCGGATTGGAGCTGTTGAGCTTGGCAGCGTGTTGGAAGTGGGGCTGCCGGTCTCAGTTGGGCAGTCCTGGCCTGTTGGGCAGCTTGGCCGGTGCACTGGTGGCTGTGGTTTGGACTGGCGGCAGAAGGGGTGTGCCGGACTGGTTTCGGAAGTGGAGCTAGGCTGGTCCGGCGAAGCAGGGGGTCTGAGTCGGGATTTCCTGTTCGAATTCAGTTTATGAATTTTGACATGTAATTCGAATCAATTGGGTTTTGTTGGATTGGATTATGGTAATTGGTGGGCTTTCGGCCCTCGATAGGCCTAGTTGATATGTTTGTTTCTCAAATTGTAATTTGAATTAAATTAAGCTGGTGATAAATGGTGAAATTAAGAATTCATACTTGAAAAGAGGACACTTAGTATAATTAGGCGATCCTGAATTGAACTGAATCATTGAATCACCAATAAGACTTGGATTAGGAATTAGGCCATGCGGGTGTCGTCACACATCCATTATTTTGGGATAAAAATGTATGTTCAGGAGTTTGTGACCTGTCTTGACATCGCAGCAACCAGGGCTGAATCTCCTTTGGGTTTTTAAGCTTGCCTTTTTAAAGCATCGCTTGGGGTGCCATGATTTATAGATAGATGAATAAGCCTTGGCTGTCATAGGTTAAGAGCCATGAATGGATAAAAAACTAGGATGACTCTAGAATATTTATTTTATTGATAATGTTGTACGTGTTTTACATGACATTGTTTGTATGTATGTCAATGTGGTAATATTGTATGGGTTACTTCTAGAATTAGGTGTATTTTCACTCAACTTTTAGCTTAGCATGTAGTTTTTGTTATCTTTGATTGCACACAAGTAGCAATTAGAGTTTTGATGAGCACCCTGGTGGTTAGTAATGCTCTGCAAAGTGGATGACTTGCAATTCTTAATTTAATTATTTAATATTTATTTACTTTAATTGAAAATTATTTTATATTTATTTACTTTAATTCCAAAATCTTATTTAAAATTACATTTCAAACAGATTGGAGTATTCAAATTTTTACTAATTCAAAGAGCGTACATAAGGGCCAAGGGTTGCACATTTATAATCCTATATTCTACATGCAAAATATGAATTTTTTATACTCTCTCCGTCCCAAATTATTTGTCACATTTGTTTTTTCAAGACTTGCGGGAACTTTTGTTTATTTCTACGTTTTCATTGGTTATTTGATAAAATAAAGTATTCTTGACACCTTTTATTTCGAATAACTTTTCATGTAGTTTTTTGATATGCAATTTTTATTTTTTATTTCTTTATCAATAAGTAAATAAAATGAATTGAAAAAACGTAATATTTTAGCTCGGTAATAGAAATGTGACAAATAATTTGGGACGGAGGGAGTAAATTTTATTACTTGCAAGTAAATCTTTTTTTATTTGTTAACAACCAATTTTTTATGTTTATGTACTCATTAAATGGGTTTCAAAAAAAAATGTTAGTCATTTTTAACATTTATGCCTTTTTGTAGGCAATCGGTTCTCAATTGAAGCCCACGAATTGAAACCCTCAAGGAAACCCAAGCTACCAAAAACCCCCAAATCACTCCTGCATCAGGAGAGAACGACAAACCTCGAGCCGCACCAGCAATGGACGGGAAGTTCCAGAAGGAAGTCCACTCAAAGAAGAGAAAGGCTGTTTCCCTTCCAAAAGGAGACAGTGGGAAATTGATTAGTAAAAAACTGAAATCAGCTTCCGGCAAGCCGAAGAGTGCTCTCAAGAAGCCTGTAACGTTGCCTAAGAAACGGACGAACCCAAAAGAGACTGAAGCGAAGCCGCGGGTTCGGAAAGAAAATGCTGAATCCAAGCGGGAGAGCCGTTTACGTGCCAAGGCAAGGCCCCTGTGTTTATCATCATCATCATCATCGTGCGTTTATACATTGATACTTCAATATATACTCTCTCTATTTCCAAATAAACTTGACTCAAACAAAGAAATTTAGAGAAAAGTTGTTCTTTGGTGACAATGAAAAGTGTGGTTGAAATTTGTTTGGAAGAGAAAGATATTAAGTTGTCCACATATTTATTTTCTAAAATGAAGTGAAGTTCATTTTTAGACATTCAAAATTAGAAAAGTAAAGTTGATTTGGAGACAGAAAGAGTATTTCTTATGGCCGTTATGGGCAGTTATTCACATTGGAGGTCCCTGTATCTCTTCAGCTTTGTATAACTCAGTTTATTTTATTATCCATGTAGGCATGCACCCTACAAATGTGCCACTGATGTTGATATTTGTTTTTTTAATTCATCTAGATGAAAATTATGTAAGGTGTATGTGTATAAGCATATTTTATATCTTCCACGTTTGCTTGTATTGCAGGAAGTCACTGAAGCTAGGAAGAAGAAGAGGAAGAGGCATTATACATTAGAACAGGTATATCATTTTCATTCAAAACTAATTATTTCACAATGCACACCATCTCTTTTTTTATTGAGGTTAAAAGAAATGATTTTTCTTTAACATATTGGGAAAAGGAATAGCTGATTTTTTAAAATAGGATTTCATGAGGTGCGAAAGATTTTTGAATAATGAAAAACCAATCCGACCATACTTTTTGGGGATTATATTGGGTTTGTTGTTGTTTCTTGTCCAAGTTTCTGTGAAGGCATAAAAAGTCTTCTTTGTTTGGAATTTTAATTTGTCTTGTCTTTATCCCAGTTGAGCTTCAAGTTATGTGCCATATGTATTTGACCTGCGGCAATGCAAACAGCTATCAGTCCTCCAAGGCTTGCCAAAAATGTTTATTTTTTGCTGATGTTCATTTATTTACGTTTTTTTGGCCTGCAGGAGCTTACAAAATTGTGGGAGAAGATGAGGCAAAGAAATATTTCAAAAGAAGATAGGTCCAGGTATATGGTTATGATTATGATTTATGATTATGTATTTTTCTTACATGCAGTTATCACTTCTTTAAGTTAAAACAACAACAACATAGTTGAATCCCACAAAAGTAAGGTCTAGGGAGGGTGCGTGTAGGTAGACCTTACCCCTTTTCAAAAGTACAGAGGCTGTTTCCAAAGAGACCCCTGCTCAAGCACCACAAGTAATCACGTACGCAGCCTGGCCCCTATGTTTAAAACATGGAGTGGCAGTTTCCGGATGACTCGTGATGAGCGTTGAAAATTTCATTGACTGACTGCTCACAGTTTTAAAGAGCCATTTTGGTTTGTTCCATCATACCCAAAAGCCAAAAAATAGTGAATCTTTGGTTTCATCGGAGCTGATGGACAGACTTCTTTAAATTAAGTGCATTAATTATTTCAAAATAATATATTTTTATCCAGATTGGTGACTGAAGCTCTGAAAAAGATTCCAGGAAAAATCCCTGAAATTGCCAGCTCTCATATTTCTTCTCGTGTTCTTCAGGTTATTGGATCATATGATTTTTTTCAAAGCCATTAAGATAGTCCATTTTCTCAGTAATCATGTTTTCTGTTTGTTTTGTTTGCTTCAGACGTGTGTCAAACATTGCACCCCAGATGAAAGGAATTATGTGTTTCAAGAGCTCCGGCCTCATTTTAATACCCTTGCGTGCAATACATATGCAGTCCATCTTGTGACAAGGATGTTAGATCATGGTTAAATGCAAATGCTCTCTCATTAATAGTTTATTTTAATAATTTTGCATTCTCCTACCTAGTAGGCAGTGATGTACTCCCTCCATTGCAATATGGATGCCATTGTTTTTTTCCCTCATTACAATAAAGTTCACTTTCCTTTAGAGGAAAGAATTGTGTGGTTGCCAATTTTTCCTGTTAAATCAATGTCAACCACACGATAGCATTCTTAATAAGTGTAACTATGAACTTTATATTTGATGGAGGAGAGATATGTACAATTTTGATCCCTTATGCTGATTGTACATTCTTGTTTTGAATGCTCCCATGTGATACTTTATGGACTCGTAATTGATAACTATCTTGTTTCTCTTTGCAGCATCAAAACAACAGTTGGCAGAGCTCATGTCCTCTTTTCATGGGCGTGTTGCCTCTCTTCTTCGTCATATGGTCGGTTCACTTGGTATGGTTATGCAAAATTCTGTCTCTGGGTTTTATAAGATTTTAGAGTATAAATGGCTTAATGCATCAAATTTCAGTTAATTTTGTTGGTTGGATTGTAACATGCTATTTTTGCATTGAAATCCTATATGATTGCAATTTCTGCCTTTCTGGCATCCAATGCTCCAGCCCTGATGTTGTACAATTAAGAACTCCTTGTCGATCTGTTACAGTTGTTGAGCATGCATATAAACTGGGAAGTGTAACTCAGAAACAAGCTTTTCTGATGGAACTCTTTTCACCTGAACTCCAGATTTTCAAGGATTTGGTCACAGGGAAGGAGGCCAGGTATGTAAAGTTAAAATGTTTAGATGCATCTCATTGCAAGATAGTTATCCATGGTATTTTCCATGTTGAAAGTACCTAAAAGGCTAATACAGTATTTGTTGAAATTAAATGTTGCTGCCAGTGTTGTAGATGTCATGTCCAGACTAAAGCTACAAAAATCATCAGTCTTGCGTCACATGACATCTGTGCTTCAGCCTATCTTGGAGAAGGGAATCATTGATCACTCTATCATACACCGGGCAATTATGGAGTTTTTAAGCATTGCGGATGAGGTGCTAAAATGCCTTATTATTATCTTTCTAGAAGTCAGTACTCTATGAGAAGTATTCCTACTATATTATACACATGTGCACACACACACACAAACAAACAAACAAACAAATAAATAAATAAATATATATGTATGTCGTATATATGTATGTAAATACATGTATGTGTGTATGTATATGCACACACGTTACTTGTAGTATTACTCAGTGGCAGGATTTATGTCATCAAAATGCAAGAATATACGAATATAATAAAAGTATTCACCAACAATTTGAAAGCTGCATCTTTTTTATATCATACTCTAACGCCTAACCACTTCGTATGTTGATCAGACCCAAGAATTAAAGCATCGAGGCTTGTTTCCAATATTTTATTTTTAGGAAAATCAAAATCTTTAGGTTGACATGGCCCTTTAAGCATATATGCTTGTCAGATTTCATCCCTTTTATTGAATGGATACTCTAATTTTTTTCCTGAGAGCCGGGTCAGATTCTAAAGACTCAAAATGAATTGGTTTTGACAAAAAATTTTGGAGTGCAAGAAATGAATTGGTTTTGACAACAGAATAAGAAGTACAAGATTGTTGAGGTTCTTGTGATTGTTGAGGTCTTTGAGGAGTTTCAGAACCTCCCCTTGTTTGGTTAGAGAGGGAGACAGAGAGGATGGGCCTAGGGTTTTGACTGGATCGGAGATATAGGGATAAGAGATTGAGGAGGGAGACAGAGACAGAAGAAACTACATGGGTACCAGCAGGAGAGACCGGATTAGGTGGCAATGGATATGCTTTCGGCAGGAGGAAAGGCTGGCTGGACGGAGGAAGGAAGAAGCCCGAATCCTTTGTTCCTGCACATTCCCCAACCAGCAATGTAGCAACAGGAGACGCCTTAGAAGGAAGAAGATGACGAAGGAAGCCTGACAAAGGAATAAGAAGACGAAGTCACAAGGGAAATGTCGATCCCTTCAATTTGGAGGAGAAGGATTTGAGGGGAGGGGTTGGATTTGGAGTTATAATTTTAGGCTCCCTCCCCTCTTTTTTTACCAAAGGGAGAGGCTCATTTTCCCTCCCGTTCCCTCCAACCAAACATGCCCTTAGTAAACTTACTAGTTACTGCCTTAGGGCAGTAGTGCGGTAGTGCCTTTGGTTTGGGGAGCTTTGGGCTTCTGACTTTTGGCAGTTTGTCGAGCACAAAGCTGGGAGGACGGAGCATTTCATGAGTTGAGGTCTTGAACTGTTGAGTAGTGGGCGACTTGGCAGTGGTGAAAAAGAGCACACAGGCGGGCAGGGGAAGCCGCACTGCAGCAGCACAAAAACAGTGCCATTATAGGCGTAGGCGATGGTCGGGCAAATGGGACTGGCAGGGCAGCCCACACAGCGAAGGTGACAGTGGACGAACTGGAGGCGGCAATTAGAGTATACTGGTAGAGGTTAGAAAATGGGATGGGCACTGTTAACAAATTCTGATTTCAACACTTCACTTTTTGTTGAATTAGCGGACTTAATTTGAATTGACTTGATTTAAAATGTATGGGCCCCCAAAAAGAACAGGCATAAATTTTTCAATTAAATTATATGGGGCCCATATATATATGTGTGTGTGTGTATATATATGTATGTATGTATGTATGTATGTATGTATGTATATGCATCATTTCAAACCCAATAGGCCTATTAACATTTTTATCGGGTCATGGGGGTCCTGTGCACCCCATGTACCTCTGCCACTAGTAAAAACCTAGTCACTCATGAAATATATGTTGCAAGAGAGAAAACATGTTGGAGTATAGGAGTGAGTTAGGCACTCTTCAAGTACATGGCGACATGGACTGATGGATGTTTGTTCTGTGAGCCGGTCATAAGGTTTTAAATACTATAGTGGCATTTGTACCAATTTTGTACACAGACCCCCTTACCCATAGAGGTAGGGAGGTTGTTTCCGAAAGGCTTGGCTCACTTAAATAAACAGGAACATGTTAAACAATCAAAGGTTGAAAAGGTAATGTGAAGTAACGGATAAGTAAATAATTTTCATTATGTTTTTTTAAAAGGTAATGTGAAGTAACAGTTAAGTAAATAGTTTTCATCCCAAACAAGTATTCAAATACTTGAAACAAAATTCTAAAAAAAATCATCTATGGACTACATTATACATTAGCTTACTTATCATATTTTAAATGTTCCACTTTCAGATTCTTTCTTGTGAATTTTAAACGTTTCACTTTAATATTATATTCTCTGAATATCACTGGATGCATTAATTTTAAATTTGGGAAAAAATAGGCTTGATGAGGTCCCTGATATTTTTAATTGGGGTCCTAAAATGTGTTAATTGTTTTTATACCTTAAAGCACAAAAGTAGTTGGGGCCCTTCCGTCCCAACTATAACATACTAGATCCGCCCCCGGTGGAGAGGAGAAGTAAAAAAAAAAGTAGCTGACAAAAATTCATCACATGCACCAAAGTTTCACCTTACTCCCTTCTAGTTCAAAAAACATCGGAGGTCTAGCTACTTAACAACTCTAGTCCTCGACCCTTTAAAGTCTTCTATCTCAGACCATTTCTTCGTTAAGATGCACAAGCAATATGTTCTGTCCAATCATGTCATCCAACTCTTCCTTAGCCTACCAAACTCACCATTAAACTCTTGCACCTCCTCACGTGGCGGCGTTAATGTTCCTTTTCTGCATGTGACCAAACCACCTTAATCTCGACTCATACATCTTATCCTTCAACAAAAGATTAATTCATCATTAATATGGTTTATAGCAAAAGTATATATGTTGAAATGCCTTGAATTCTAGCCCTTTCACTAGTCAAAAATGGCTGCACCTCACTGGAGAGTGGCTGGAAACAAGCTGGAAGGTGGCCTTGACAAATGGGCAAGTTGGTGATGTGGGCAGCTGTATGATAGCAGTGTTTTGGGCTGTCAACAGCTCACTTCCCACTTGATTTTGGCAGTCAAGTTTGTTGCCATCTTTCCTCATAAATAGGTTCATTTGTTAGGCATTCATTTAATGGTAGTCACCTAGAAAAGTCCTCTGTAATCTCTCTCCTCAATCAGTAAAAGCTCTCTCTTCTGTAAGGTGGACGTAGTCAGCATATTGTTGGTGAACCACGTTAAGTTTGTGTTTGTCCTGTCGTTTCTTTTCTGTTTGGTATCTTTCTTACATCTGTCCTCAGAGCTCGGGCAATTGAGGTTTGTAATCTGGTGAAAAAGATGTCTGCTTTAAACATAAAGATCGACAAATTCACAGGAAGGTATAGCTTTAGTCTATGGGAGATCAAGATGCGAGCTTTGTTGAAGCAACAACGTTTATGGACGCCATTATCAAAGGAAGTCAGGTCTTACAATGTTGAGTTGGCTGACTTGGAGGAGAAGGCACATTCAATTATCATGTTGTGTCTTAGGGAAGATGCCATCATTGAGGTTGCTAATGAAGAAACTGTCGCTGGTTTGTGGTTAATACTTGAAAGTCTGTATATGACAAAGTCTTAAACCAACAAGTTGCTTTTGAAGCAACGTCTGTCTGTATGCATGAAGGTATACCTGTTAGAGAGCATCTAGATAAGCTAAATACCATCCTGTTAGATCTACGTAACATTGATGTTAAAGTAGATGCTGTATATGCTGCTCTAATTTTGTTGGTATCTTTGCCCTTATCATTTGAGAATTGTGTGGATTCTTTTAAATTGTTAGGAAAGATAGTCTGTCTCTTGAAGAAGTAAGATATGCTCTTCATACAAGAGAAATCTACCATAAGGCATCTTGTTTTACTATAGAAGATCAGCCATCAGGGTTAGGTTATCTGTTACGGAGAGTATGGGACAGAGAAAATCTGGTAGAAGGAATTCAAATTCTAAGGGTCTTAGTAATTACTGAAAAGAGAAAGGACATTGGAAAAGACGAGTGTCCTATGAAAAAGAAGCAACAACAAAATGAAGAAAGTTCTGCCGATGTGGCAGAAGCTGACATCAACATTGAAGATCTGGCCCTAGTTGCTAATCACCAAACACATTGTAAGGATGTGTGGGTCCTTTATTTTTGGGCGTCGTATCATATTAGTCCATGTAGGGAGTGGTTTTCAACTTATGAGCAGATAGAAAAGGGTAATATTTCTATGCCAACGGTGTTGTCTGTGGGGTATTTGGAATAGGCTCCATCAAGTTGAGGACTCATGATGGTACATTTTGCACCTTGAATGAAGTTAGGCATGTGCCACTTATGAAAAAGAATTTGATATCCTTGACCATTCTTCATAGTAAGGGTTTCAGCCTCTAGGGTAAATGTGGAGTTATGAGTGTCTACAAGGATTCAAAGGTGGTTCTGTAAGGTATTATAAGTGGTACCTTAAATTTTCTGCAGGGTTCTACTGTCACAGGTTTTGTTGTTGTTGCATCATTTGAGATTCATAGAGGTGATGAATGTCTTGATGGTAAGGTGGAGGTTCCATCTACAGAGTTTGAGACTATCGATCTCCTTGAACAATCACCCAAATCTCTTTCCTCACCTCAGTGAGGTGATCTGTGCCCAGGGAGGGGGCGATCTGGGTTGGGCAGACAGGTAAGCGCTATTTGGGACAATAGGTTCGTGTCATATGCATAGTTGTTAAGGCGACTAGGCGAGTCTAGGCGCTCGGGTACCTTCTAATCGCCTAAGCGATTAGGCGTCCTCTAGGCGAGTGGCTATGACAACTTTAATATTTTATAGGTATTAATATAAAAGCATATAATATGAAATAAGTNAATATATTAAGAAAAATAAGTAAATATTTTGATATTTCTAAACTTTTTAAAAGTGAAATAGTATTTGGGCCCAATGCTCTTTTAATAAACAACTATATTAATAAGTGTAAAGGCCCACTCCTCTTTGAATAAACTCAGCCCAAATTAGTTAACCTAAAATAACTAATTGGAGAGTTAGAGAGTCGGAGGGTTTAGAGGAGCCGCTGGATATCTCGGCAGTTGCGACAATGAATCAGCGTCGGCAAGTAAGGTAAGCTCGATCTTCCTCAGTCTCTCTCTTTCGTCTTCTTCAGATCTTCTTCTCCTCCTTCTTCCTCTCTCAGCTTCTTCCAGTCATCTTTTCCGGTGTTTGCACAAAAAAGGCTAGGCGAGCAGTTAGGCGTCCATATGACCTCGGCCAGACGCCTAAGCGTCGCCTAGGCGACGCCTTGATAACTATGGTCATATGTTTCTGTTCAGGTTCTATGAAGAGCCATTTGGGGCTTCAGGTTATTTCTTTATTGTTTGTTATCTTTCTTACATCCGTAACAATATAAATAGTAGCAATTAGCAAATACATTATCAATCTAATAAAACTATAATCAGCTTAAGTAATTCTTTCTTGTTGACAAACTGAGTTCTACCATATAGAGTCGGAGAAGGGTGTGCTTGAAATTTGTTAAACTACAAAAGATTGTTTAAAAAATAAAACAAGTCAAACCGTACCAGTATTTCTGGCATTTTGCTGAATTTGAGCCAGTGTGGATGTTACACACAGGTACATACCATTCTCATGCTGGCACATTTCAGACTCTTGCCATATTTCTGGTATGGCATGGATTCATAACATTGTCTGATCCAGACCATGGGGTTGATTGTGAGAACTAGAGGGTAAAGTCCACAAAATTCTAAGACAGATTGATATTTGGGGGATGATTCTTGCTTCATGCAAAGATTGGGCTGATTTTTGCGAAAAACAAACCCAGTCGAATCCCACAAAAGGTGTGGGAGGGTATGTGTATGCAAGCCTTACCCCTACTCAAAAGTAGAGAGGCTGTTTCTGAAGTGACCCCGGCTCATGCACCACAAGTAATCACGTACACAGCCTTATGTTAAAAACATAGAGCGACTGTTTCTGGATGACCCATGATGAGCGTCGAATGTTGCATTGACTAACTGCTCTTTTATGGCACTCAAACATTCAAATATGTGCTCCTGCCAACCATGGTTTTGCCTGCTACTAAAATTTAACTGTTAAAACACGTGAGTTTTCTTAATTTATTCCTAAACCGAATCTGTCAAAAGTCTTCTGCTACAGATGTACTCCGGCAGTTATCAAATGCAGATCTTGTACGGATGATGCACACTAAGGATGGATCTAGGATTGCTATGCTTTGTATCAAGCATGGGAGCGCAAAGGTCTACTTGAGTTGATAAATTTGAAGTGCCTTTATCTTGTGTTCTCAGTCTTGTACATTTCAAATCTTTTTTCTCCAGGTTGATGTTTTTATTACTTAACTGAAATGTTTATTTTTCTCTACATTTGGCTTTAGGATAGGAAGAAAATCATTAAGGGGATGAAAGGAAAAATTGAGAAGATAGCTCGTGATAAGTTTGGCAGTATGGTAAGTATTTTGTTTAATTCTTGAACATTTTACCTCAATCATCTAAAAAGAGACCATGGTCAAGTTTTTGAAGTCTGTTTTCTCTTCCAGCGTAAAGCTTCAATTGTAAGCTTCATACTAGTCCTACAGTCCTTAAGCATCAACACCATTTAATACTCTTGTGATGCTATGTCTTATGTTTTCCTAGGTGCTGGTGTGCATACTTTCAATTGTTGATGACACCAAACTTCTTTCAAAGGTTTGATCCTACCACTTTTGCATAACCTGTTTTTACTAAGGGGTTGCTGCCATTTAATATTTACCCCCACTGAACTTTCTTATATTCAGATTATTATTCGCGAGCTTGAGGGCGTTCTGAAGGAAATTGTTTTGGATCAGGTTTGCCTTAGTTCCTTTGCTCGACTTTGTAATCATTTTGGTTCTGGGTATTAGTGTTAGGCAAATTTATATTCCATTTGTTTTCAGTCACAAATCCACATCTCACATCCCACTGAAATGATTAAATAAGAAGAAACAGATGGGAATAACATGACATTCTTATGTATGAACATCGTTTCGATATAATGAGCTGCTATTCGGTTGCTAGAACAGTTTTCTTTTATTACTATCACTCTGTGATTTCAGAATGCAAGACGACCACTGTTGCAATTACTTCATCCCATCTGCTCTCGCTATTTCAGTCAAGATGATTTGGACTCACTCAATTTATTGATTCCTTCCCTCACTGTCAAGGTTGACTCTTCACCTTTAACCAAGAAGTCAAGAACCCATTGAACAAGTTTTATCTAGTTTCAATATTTACAGAACGTTTTTTCTTGAATATCAGGGATTGCTTGAAATGGATAAAGATGAGCATTCAGGTATGGAAGATGCTATCAATGAAGTGGTGGCCATATCAGAAAAGGCTAAATGCATGCTAAAAAATAAACATTTAAATGATCGTGGGAAAAAAGATCCTTTACGAAGGAGGCAAGAGTTGCTTGTTGATAGCGCACTTGCTGAGGTTGGTTTTTTGCCTTGGCTTTCCTGCAAGTGTTTAGATTTTAGATGGACGTGAGTCACTTGACTTTGTGTTAATCTCTCTTGTATTTGCATCTTTACCAAATTTTAAACTTACTAAATGATCTTTTTTCACTGGTCCCATTTATATTGGTTGTATTTTTGCCATGGCGTATCATTTGCTGCAGAAACTCCTTGATGTGTGCTCTGTGATGGCTGAAGATTTACTAAGATCTAATACTGGTAAAGATGTTATCTTTGAGGTAATTTATGATACTATGCATTCACTAATTGTTCAATATTCATATTTGGACAAGAAACCTTTGATCCCCTTGTCCAGTAAAAATGATACCAGGTTCTTTTTTGGGTAGGGTTAAGGTCTGGGGGTGTTTTTGTAATTTTTGTGCTTCTCGGGGTGTTAAGGAAATAGCCTCTTTACCTTTTCTAGGTAGGGTTAAGGTCTTGATACACCCACCCCACACCCCATTTATGAGATTTTACTGGGTTTAATGGTTTCCATTAGTGTGTATTTGAGATTATTTATTTTGAAAGAATAATTGCTTTTTTAGTGGAATGAAAGTACTCTTAGATTAAAATAATCGGGTAAATTTCAGTAATGGTACCTGAAATTTCACTGGAATTTCGAAGTGGTACTTAAACTTTAAATCCTTTCACAAAAATACCTGAACTTACATAATCCTTTCACTAAAAGTCCATTTACCCGTTTCCAGGTTAACTCCGGTCGTTTGAGCAAAATTAGAATTTTATATATTTTAAAATTTTTAATTTGACCCCATTTCTTTTTTTCTTCTTCTTCCCCCACCCACTCCCTTATTTTGCTTGCTCTGCACTCCGCTACCACTTTCATGGCGGATGATGTTGTTGCTACTATTCCTCGACTTCCAGAAAAGCCATCTCCTCCGTTCCCTTTTCTGCAGATTTGGAAATTCAAATCAACATTTAAATACTCCTTAGATTAAATTTAGGACAAATTCAGGTCAGTATCTGCCTTCTTAATTGTGTTTTGATATTATATTTTTTCTATTAAATTTAGAATAAAAACATAAAAGATTATATTTTGATTCAATTTCTATGTTTGATTTGATTCTAGTTTTTATCTTGTGTTTTGATTTTCTTAATTGTGTTTTGATTGTCTTCATTTTCTATTAAATTTAGAATAAAAACATACTCCGTAAAATATTATATTATTATTCATTTTCTATGATTAAATTTAGAAAATCAATTCAAAATATTAAAAAAAGAAAATCAAGAAACAAATCATTTTTGGTGTGGTTTTTTTTACTCTTAAACTAAAGAACAATACTAAGTTCACAAACAAAATGGTCATAAATTTATTATTTATTATATAAAATTTTAATTTAAAATTATTTCAGACTATTTAATTTTTTTTATTGAAGTTCAGAAATAGTAAATTTGTGAATTTTGTAACCATATTTTGTTTATGAATCTAACATTTCTCTAAATTAAAAGATTAATTAGGTAGGGACGAAGAAAACTAAAGATTAAATTAAACTTGAAATTGAAAGGACTCCATAGAAAATTAAAGTAACCTTATCTTCGTATTCTTCAAGGGGATGATGATGATGATGGCTTCTCTTTTCTTTAATGGGAGAGCGGAAAGCCCTTTTCACAGCAGAAAGCCAGGACCTTCCTCCTTTCTTTATGCCAATTCACCAAATGATATAACCCGAGGGGTTCCATTGCCACTATGAATAATAATAACATTCCTAATAATAATAATAATAATAATAATAATAATCTCAAGTAATAATAATAATAAAAATTTCCTTGACCAGCAGCAAGGGGCAGTCGTAAATATGATTACAAAAGCAATGTTATTACAACAATTAACCTATTAAGTTGTGAGTCTAGGTGTGCTGAGCGTGGGGTGGGGTGAGGAAGAAGAAGAAGAAAGGGTGTGAAAGAAGAGAAAGAAGGGAGTGGGAGGGGGAAGAAGAAGAAGAAAAAAGAAATGGGGTCAAATTGAAAATTTGAAAATATACTCCCTCCGTCCCTGAATATTCGTCCAGTATTCCTTTTTGGGTCGTCCCTCAGTATTTGTCCACTTTCCTATTAAGGTTAGAAAAATTACATCAAATGTCTCTTTTACCCTTATCATTTAACCTTTTTCTCCCTTATTCAAATGTCTCTTCCTATGTAATCTTATCCTCCAACGCAATCTCTCTGATGTTTCTTCCCCTTCATCTGTCTTTCATCTCAACACACTCTGGTTGTCTTCTCCGATATGTTAATTTTGTTTTCAAATTTTGTTTTTTTCTTAAAATTGGGACTTTTGTTTTGTTCTAAAATCTAGATCTAGTTTCTGTTCTTAAATTCACGTTGGGTGAAATCTAGGTTTGTTTTATTTTGAAATCTAAACCTGATTATGTTCTAGATCTGAAATCATATTGAGACTTTGTTTTCTATCGGGTAGTTTTCTCTCCTCTATACCTAATGTTTGGTCTCTTTCTAGTTTTTGTTTTCACATTTTGAAATTGGAGGGAGCTGTGTGGTGGCTAGCGTACATATGGTGGAGGATATCATGGTGACAATGGATTGAGAGGTTGCAGTGGCGGATGGCATAGGTTGGGTGGCGGAGGGAATAGGCTAGGGCAGTTGAGGAACGCAGGGCAGTCCAAGGGCGTTTGTGTCATTTTACCTATTACATTGGTTTGTGTGCCAAACTAAAAGTGGATGAATATTGGGGGACGGAGGGAGTATAAAATTCTAATTTAGTCCAAATGACCAGAAGTTAACCTGGAAACGGGTAAATGGATTTTTAGTGAAAGGATGATGTAAGTTCAGATATTTTTGTGAAAGGATTTAAAGTTTAGTTACCACTTTGAAATTCCAGTGAAAGTTCAGGTACCATTACTGAAATTTACCCAAAATAATCCTTAGGCAAGAAAAATAGAAAGTGACACTGGAATGTATGGCACTTTTGTTAATTTGAAGATCAAATTTTCACCCTCATTCATTGCAAAAGAAAACATCTAATTCAACACAACACCATTTATACATCACTCATATTAAATCATTACGGTGTTGTGACACTATTTTGCTTTGTTGTTTGTCTTTACTTCATACTTTCAACAACAACCCAGTAGAATTCCACGAAAGTAGGGTTTGAGGAATTGAGACTTCCCTGTGTATCTTCTTCTATTTATTTGGGAATCGAGACTTCCTGCTTCTAATCGCGAACTTGGGACCCTCAATTGTGATCCAACTTTAACTTGTGTTATGTTTTATTAAAATTTAATTAAAACATTAAACACACACACACACACATAATAGGATCTTACGATCCGAGTCACGATCTTACGATGTTACGATCTTCATTATGCTTATCGATCCTACGTAGAATCTAGAGTTTGACTACCATGGAGGAGGGTGTGTACGCAGACCTTCCCTGTACACGAAAGTAGAGTGGCTGTTTCCAAGAGACCCCCAGCTCGAGTAATAATGTGGCAAAAAAGCACACATTGTTAAGCACGAAAGTTACCGCCATACTATCCAACTATTCTAATTTTATCTCTCCAAACACTCATATCTAAGGTCATATGCCCTTCCTTCGTACAACCAAGGGAACAAACCTCCCTAAAAGTGTTCACAACACTTAACCACTCAAGATCAAAAACTCTCTTAAAGAGTAGAATGTGTAAACTAATTTAGATCAAGAACACACTCAATTCCTCAATAAATAGCTCTAAAAAGCTATGTAAAAAGTTTATGGAATGATGCAATGTAAAGCTATGAAATGTGTGAGGAATGGTTATGAAAAGTAGACCCAAAACACCCCTATTTATACCCAAAAATAATGTGTAACGGATGTGAATTGATTGGGGTTTAATGGCATGATTTGTGGAAATCAAATAAAAGTGGACCTACTGAAATCTGGCCTAACATCCATGTTCATATAGTGAATATCGCTGTTTTGGCTTTGACTTTCCTTTAAAAATGGCTAACGGTCACCAAAACATCGATGTCTAGAAGTCTACATCGATGTTGGGGTGATTGACTTTCAAAAATAGAAAGATTTTGTCTTAAATAACCCAATGGTCATTTGAAAACATCGCTGTTCAACAATGAACATCGCTGTTCAAAAACCTACTGCCCAAAACTGACGTGAGCCAACCTGGCCAAAACATAGATGTTCAAAGTTCAACATCGCTGTTCAGACATCGATGTTCAAATCCTACATCTATGTTGGGTCTGGTTGCCAGAACCATGGTTTGGCAGCCAACGCCGAAAACCGATGTAAAAATCCAAAGTTCTCCAAAATGAAAACCAAGTGTTGGAAACTCTTATATAATGTATTTTATGTAGAAACCAAGTATAAAAACTTAAAAACCACTTCATTAAGGTAAAAACGACGGCTAGCCAAGTTTAAGTTGTTTCACATGGTTTTCACGAAAAGACCAAAAACGAAAGGAGGTTTTTAACATGTTTTTGGTTGAAAACTGTTTGAATATGCCCAGACGTAAAAATCAATCATAAAATATTAAAAACCACTTGATTGATTTGGACGCCAAAAACCAACCCCGATAACAAGCGCCGAATGCCAATAACCAACGCTGGAAAACAAAGGTTATGGTTTTTGAAAACTAATGATTTTCAAAACCTTTAAATGTGTCCAGAAGCAAAAACCAAAGATAAAAATCCAAAAACCATTTGGCTAAAATCAATGCCAATAACCAATGCCGAAAACCGAATGCCATAGCCGAACGCCAATAACCGATGGTTATGGTTTTGGTTGGGCAAGAACCAAGGGTTTTAGAAACTTAAAAACCATTTATGAAAACACTCATTTGATGCTTGAAAAACATATTTTGTTTTGAGCCATGACTTAGAGAAATTGAATGAACTTGTTACAATAAAAACCTAAGTATTTAGACAACGTCTTCAAAACGTCATTGTCGTCGTCTTTAGAAACAACCTAAACAGAAACAAGCATTTCCATTAACAAAACATCAATGTGAAAATGCTTTCTAACATTTTTTTAACCCTTGACTGACCCCAAATCGGAGTTAGCAAATGCCATGTGCCTCAAGTAAAAGCGGCGATGGCAATCAACGTAGTGCGCCTCGCGTAATTTGCCACACCCGGCCTGCTCTTGATGTTGGAGGTTCGCCTCACTGCCATAGGTGCGTGCCATAAGTGAGGATGGAGAACTCCATTAATAACCATGATCTCAAGGCCTTTGTCAAACAATCTACGAGCTAGTCCTCTGTGTAGAGACATTAGACATAGCATGTGACAGTATGCTTAGTTCTCTCTTCGTATACTAGGTTTGGACTTTGGAGAACTGTACAATTGTACATTGCTGCTTTGTTGTGACTCATCAACGGTGTTTGTCTCATATTTCATTGGAAAAGATGCTTTAACTATAAGATTTTCCATGAGGCAAGAGCCATTGCATGGTATTTGTCGTCAGCAGTTAATCTTATACTCTATTTGTCGTCAGCAGTTAATCTTATACTCTATTATTTTTTATTGTTTACTTCTTCAAGAGATTAAATATTCACCAATCAAGGCACAGTACTCAGAAGTAGGTTCTGTATCAATCGGGCAGCCGACTTGGGTCATATTAATTGTCTTATTTTAAACTAGACTTAAAAATATAGAATATAAATGGAAAATAGATATGGCCCTGCTCATTTGGGTGGTAACCCTAACTCCCACCTTTCTCCAACTCTTTCCAGTATCTACCATCTCCTTCGAATTTCTTCTAACTCCGTATGATTCTAATTTCAATTATTATTAGTAAACTAAATATGCAAAAAGAGTCTCTATAACCTGTAAATGTGCAAATGAGTACTCTATAACCTGTAAATGTGCATATGATGAAAATAAAATAATACTGTACATCCAAATGTATAATATAGTATCTCAAAGACTAACATATAAGAATTTTTTAAAAATGAGTTTGGTTTTCTACACCTTTAATGTTTAGTTAGGCGTTTTTTTATTTTTGATTATTTTTGATAATATAGTGGTTTAATTATTGTTTTTTCCTTATTTAAAAAATTATTTTGCGCCATTAGAAAAAAAAGTAAATCTTGTAATGTCATCAGCTTTTAGTGGAAAATTAACATCGTTAGTCTTTAGGTCATTTTTGTGAGACACATCAGACCTTGTGATTATTTTGGTGTATAATGTGCTGCGTTAGATTGTTTTTGTTTGATCGAGCAAACATTGGATTATTTATGTTAAATTTTCCTTTCAATTAACATTCTTGTTCGCTTTGTCCACTGCTTTCGGGATATGGGTTAGTGACATGCAAATTAAGAAACAAAAAATTATGATTGATATTGATGTTAAAAAGTAGGAAAAATTAAGAGAGTGCTAGTCACAAAAAAAGACCAACGAGTTACTTTTCGATTGAGAATCATGTCACTTTGAAAAGAGTGAAATTTTGTTCTGTGAAAAGAAGCATGTCACCTTGCACGTTTTTACATGTCAAAATAATAAAATTGAACTACTCTAAAAAATAAACAAGGAATACTTTATTTTGGTTTTTTGAACTGGTGAACACATCTAACTTTTTCTTAGGTTGCTAGGGTTACGCTAAATGTTCATATTGATTACAGTAGTGTTCCTATTTGGCTTCATAACTCCAATCTAATATGATGAGTGTTATGTAGGTTGCAAAGGGTGGTGCTGATGGCATTCTCCGTCACACACTAGGTGAAAAGCTGGAATCCTTATATGAAGCTATAGTGTGTATTGCCTTGCAGCCTAAATCAGAGAATCCAAATAAGGATCATCTCCTTGAGGATTTCCATTCCAGTAGGATGATTAGAAAACTTGTTCTAGATTGCCCTTCCTTTGCTCAGATATTATATGAGAAAGCTCTAAAAGGACATTGTGCAACCTGGGCCCAAGGTCACAGGTTAATAATAGCTCTCTCTCTCTCTCTCTCTCTCTCTCTCTCTCTCTCTCTTCCCCGGGCTTATTTGTTGTGTTATATTACTTTGAAAAGGCACATCATGACATGCTTTTTTATTCAATGCTATTTTTTTCCAGTTTGAAGGTGATAAGTGCATTTTGGGAAACCTCTGATGCTCTAGTGCATGAATTGGTCAAGGAAGAGATCCAGCCATTGGTAGATAGTGGGCTTCTCAAGGTAGCAGCTCCAGCAAAAGAACTCCCTAAAGATGAGTGAGAACAAAAAAAAGGTAAATCCGTCTTAATGGACTGTCCATTAGGACGATGTTATAGTGATGTTTGTATTATGATATGATTATACCATGCATTTCAGCTCAATTTTGGTAAGCACATTTTCAGGGTGTTTAGTACTAGTTTGTCCTAGTTGAAGTTTAATTATTGAAGTACGGATTCCAGTTGACTTCTGTTCTTTTTGTTTTCCTGTTTACTATGGAGTTTCTACGAGTAATTTCATGCTCTCTGCTTTTGTTTTGTAATTTGAAAACACGTTGGCCAACATACATTAGTGATAGGACAACTTGAGGTGATGGCTAGATACAATTTGGTTTTGGTTCTGGAACTACTTCCTGGTTCCATTTATTTGGAAACATGAACTGTTTGGCAGTGGTCTTGTTAAGTTATATTGGCAGTTTGGAATCGGTTTAATTAAAATATTCTTATTACATTAGAGCGTAAAGTCAAAATTGCTCATGACAGAAGAATTGGGCAATGAATACTAAGGTTATTAATTAATTTTCTTAAGTGGAAATTAGAAATTGTTTTTGCAAAAGTAAGATAGTTAAAGGACGTTATTAGCGTTCAGATTTGGTTGATTATATAATATTACTCCTAGATATTTTGCACGTCAATACTTTGAGAAATTAAGAATTTCACATCTTTACTCCAGCCTGGTAGTCAGTTTCAGACTTCATTATGGAAGTCTTTTGGCTTACATGACATGCAAAGTTCTAACTCATTTAGTTGTTACAGATTTGTTTAACACAATTTAACTCATTTAGATGTTAGGACAGTTTCTCTGATGAGATGCCCTTAGGAATTCTAGTACTTTCAATTTCATAATAGTATCCCAAGTTGAGCACAACATTCTTACGCACCCATTTCATTTGTTAGGTGTAGCGTGTGCATTTGGTGGTCCTCAAACTGGATAAGTTTTATGTTCTAATCTCTCTCAATATGTGTTCTTTAAAAAATCATTCTTAAATTGCGTTGCATATTTATATGGTTAGTGTTTTTCTGTGTGTATCAGTTGGTCGAAATAACTTATAAGTAGTTTTTAACTTGTAAGTTAGCTAATGACATGTTTTTATGTGCTTATAAGCTCATACCTTATAAGCCAGAAAAAATAAGTAGGTCGTGGCTACTTATTTTTAAGTCAGTATTTCATTTCTTTATTTTAACCAGGTTTTTTACAAAACTGTCGTTCACGATTTATGAATATGTACAATTGATTTATTTATCATTTAAGTCATTTTACTTCAATGAAAGAATATTTTATTTATAAGCAGTTTATAAGTAACGAAACTATTTATCAGTAATAAGTCGATGAGTAGCTACTTCATGAAATAAATTTTGAAAGTTCTTAGCATAATAAATTTTATAAAATTATTATACCAATATATGTTACAATATTTGCTTAATTGATGTATACAGTTTAAAACGTTTGATTCAAAAAAATCATACTTGACTAATACACTAGATTGCTCCGTAAGAATAATTTTATCTTTGATCCCAAAATCATCCTTTATCTACCCATTTTTTGAGTTACATTCTCATTATCCTTTCTAGGAATTATATACAAGTGAATGAATTTATCACTCTTCAATTGCTCACATAAAAATTGTTATTTTTTCTTTTTTTAAATAAAGTTCTTGTTTACTTAGATTTATATGTGCATTCATAAATTATAGAATGCTTATTTTATGCATTTCTTTAAATAGTACTGTATCATAATTATAGTTGAAGTTAATTCAAGTGCAAGTAAATCAATTTTATGTGACTATTGGAAATATTTTGGAAAACGCTTTAAAAAATTAGGAAAATCAAAGGAGTTAGGAAAATTAGAAATTATTAGAAAAAGTGAAATAAATTGGAAGGAATTTCAAAAGATTGAAAGAAGTTGAAAAATTGGAAGAGTTGAAAGAAATTGGAAAGAATAACGATCCAAAAGTCAAGTCATAAATATTGCTCTGTATAAAAATATTGAGAAGTGCTAGAGTCACAAATATTTTGATCACAAAATACATAAACTTACTATTTATGTATTTAAATGTCTACTTTTTAATTATTTAACATCATTTAATTCACTTGGTGAGATACACAAAATGACAAGTTTGTTTTTTTTGTGACCGAAGTGTTTGTGACTCTAACATTTTTCAAAAATATTTTAAAAACATAACAGTACACATTTAAACCAGTCAAAATATTTAGTAAAAATAAAATATTCAACTATGCGTGGATTAGAAAAATGGATTGAAGCATGGAGGACTAAATGCAAAAATTATTTCGAAGCAGGTGAGTAATTGGTACCATTATGGGCATTTATGATACCCCGTCCCAAATTATAATGCATGTTTACTATTCACATGGTCAAACTTCATTCACTTTCTTTCTCAATTTTTGTTAGGAAATTGATAAAATAAAGTATTATTGTCACTGCTAGTTTTGTAGATTTTTTGATGTAGTATTTTAATATGTAATTTTTATTTTTAACTATATATCATTTATCATATAAAATGATTTGAAAATAATTTCAGTTAAACATTGTAAACCGAAACATGCGTTATAAAATAGGACGGAGGGAGTAATATTTACGCGAATTTCTCTTTTAAGTTATATTTTTAACTGCTGGTTATTTTAACTAGTTCTAACTAATGAGTTAAAACTAGATGTGGGCAAAAATTAAACTATGTATCATACGTGATCGTAATGGTACCGAACCGTTTATAGTCTTTTAAATGACATTTATTTTTTCCTCATGAAACAAAATTGGATCGATATTAAACAGGAAGAGACTGTGCAACAAAACTTTAAAACTGATTATCAGCACTGAATCGTTCAAAGCTATGTGCAAAGTATGTAAATACATATGTTAGACAAGGCGTGCAACTCTAGAGGGGGGAGTGAATAGAGTTGTTGAGAATGATTATTGATTTTCGTAGGATTATAATATAAACGTAAGTGCAGCGGAAATAAAAAAGAGAATGCAAAGAACACACCGATGTATACTGGTTCACCACCTCGTGGCTAGTCCAGTTCCCCGAGAGACTCTCTCGAAGCTACCACTACTTCCGTTAAGCTTACGGGTGCTTAACAAACCGTTTACAAACCGAGAACTTGAATCCCACAAGCCTCAATACAAATGCTTGTAGATGTGCCCTCTACAAGACTTCACACTCAAGACTTAAGTCACATAAGTCTTATACAATAAGAAGAATAATCTTCTTCAGCCTTACAATAATAACTCTCACAAGAGTAGAAATGAGAAAAGATTAAGCTCTATGGATGACAAGAACACTCTCTTGAAAGTTGAAAACACTTAGTTTTCTCTCAAAATATATCAATTTGAGGAAGAAATGAATGGAGGATTATAACATCAAGATTGGGGGAGTTTAGGAGTGCTTGTTCATTCTAAAAATGACCAGGGAATGAAGTTTATAAAGAGGTTGAAAGAATATGTCTATTGAAGCTTAGAAAAAAGAGTTTGCTGAAAAATGCAGCATAATAATCAATTAATGCACCATAGTAATCGATTAATGCAGTCTGTGCAAAAATCCTTCAGCGGACGAAATGATAATCGATTTTTGCCAAAGTGTAAAAATCGATTTTTGAAGCAATTATGCCCAAACAAGGACACAATCATGTGTGCGAGGTGAAGTGCTAATTTGGAATTTAACACTTGTTTAGGACATAAAAATCAAATCAATAGGCTCCCCAATCAACAAATATAATTCAAATTCAAATTTGAATTATGAGAGCGTATTTTTGGTGTAGAAAATGAGTCCCAAAAATATTTTGTGTGTCAAACGATAAACACGAAAATATTTGAATAACATATTTTTGCTTTCCAAAAATATTTTCTAATATCAAAATAAATATCTTTATAAATGTTTGACACACCTTTGGTAACTGACTCAATAAATGTATTTTGAACAGTTAAAATGATTTTTCAACTGACTCAAAAAATATATTATTTTTATATTTATTCTCATAAAAATAATTGTTGGAGAGAAGATATTTTTGTCACCCTTACAATAATTCCTAAGACTCAAATAAATAAAAAATCTTCGGAAATCTTCTACACCTCCAAGTCCTCCGTTAGGTGCTTCGAACGCATCTCGGACTTCAATAAAATCCTGTGCACCTTCTTGAATATTTCAAGGAATGGCACTTCAAGTCTTCGTATTTGTCCATGTAGCACTTTGATCTTGACTTGAATAAATTGTGTTTGTCAATTATCAAAACCTGTGAGTCAACACTTAACAACACAGAAAAGGTTGAACTGATGCATTCCAACAACATACTCGTCTACTTAATCTTACCATATACAGAGTATTTTTCAAACAAAAAGAGATGCATTAGATAAATTGGGTAATCGAGTCCGGGGGATAAAAACCCAATTTGCCCCTGCTCTAAAGAGAATGATACGCACGCATCAAAACACGTGCCGCCTCATGAGCAAAGCGGTGTACAAAATAAAAAAGAAAATCCCCGCCGCAACTGGCTAAAGAGGCCTTACGATCATCATTATGTGAAGAAAAGTATGACCAATCGTGAAAGGAAGTATTCATGGCGTCCACTTACTTCTTTGCAATCTGACTCGATCACCACCTGTTGCCAATTCTTTGTTTTGATCCAACTAAGAGCTTCCTTAACGGCTAAAGCCTCCACTTTTCTTGGACCGAAACTACCTTGAAAAGAGGCATTCTTAACCGCCAAAAAAACCCCTCGATCATCGATCCGACCCCAACTATATACGGAGTACTTTGTATTGTATTATTTTTCTTTTAATATTTATTCATTATTGTTGTTGTTATTATACTTATGACTACATATTATTTTTTGGACATATCAATAGTATGATATCTTATGAATTGAAAAAAAAGATCATTACTCTATTTTTTAAAAAATTTGGGTTCATTATCTTTTATTGTTTTTGGTTATGATCCTTTTGAATTCAAATTCATAACTTGCAAAGTTTTGCTTTTCGATATATAAACTATTGCTCTTGTTTTAAGATTATTTTAGTAATGGATGTTTAGTTTTCTTTTTGGCACAGTTTGAGCATGGTATGAAATGACACCATTTTGTTCTAAAATAGAATGGTACCCAAGGTTCATTTCGTACTAATATTGAACAATTTATTTAACTGCGGCCCGTGATAGGCAGTGTAAGTATCACAGACCATCACATATTGCCCACCCCTAGATAAATCTTCAAATCTATGCCCACTATTTAAAACAGTCAATGTGTTTGTTATACGATCAAGTATCGACATAGAACGAGAAGAGAATAGTGTCGTATGCTATGGTCGTGCGATCTTTAATGTCGAGAATCAAGCTAGGGTAAAATTATGGTTTTATTAATGATAATTAAGAAGAAGATACACCTCTATATATAGTTGTAGAGGAACTCTAAGCCTACCTTAACAAGGTTGTCTATCCCGACGGTTCAAGAAATGAGATCAGATATGAGTTAAAACTCCGTAAAGAAACCTTCGAAGAAACTTATATTTTTCACCAAAATTACAATTTTGAATTTCAAATCATTCTTGGGGTATCCAAACATCATCTTAAGCTTTCAATATCGTGGGAGACATTCAAATCTTGCGTTTTTAGACATTAAATATTTTATTTTGTTGTGCAAAGACTTACTTTTCGAAAATCTTTGTCAATGGATCTGTAACACCCCAATTCGTATAACTCGAAATTAAAGAAATTAAGATGAAACAGGAGAAATATGTTTAGAACCTTTTACAAATCATTAAATAAAATTCATAAAACAAAACTTCAAAATACAACATATCAAATTCGGATCGATCCTTCACAAAATGTCGAAGATAGCGGAAGACTTAAATAATACAAATACAATGGTGTGGGTTAAGCCCAAAACTTCAAATGCAATACTTCTGAAAATCATGCATGTCAATCTTTCATCCTATCGTCTCTTCGTCCTCCGGAGTGGTTCACATAATCTATGCTTCAACCTACGTGTAGACAAAAAGACTACACGCTCAGCATAAAGCCGAGTGGTACGATAACACGAGAGATCGATAACATATTTATACTTAAATACTATGCATCACATTGGCCACATAACTTTCATGGTTGCATAGTAGATAGCACAAGATATTGTTAGTTCCATGGTGTTGGCTAATCTTTTGGCAAAATAGAATCCCATATTTGTTAGGTGTTTTACTAGGTAGAAACCTCTATTTGTTAGGAGAGGTTTATTTTATTTAGACTTCTAGAGTTGCTGCAGTTTTCGAGGTTGAGGCACACTGTTCGGGATCAGAGGTCTGAGTACGGGATTTTAAGCTGCAATCTGAATTAAAGACCTATTGGGATTGTGATTACATGATAATAATTCCAGGTGTATATGCTAAGGAATCCCAACTCTTTTAGGCTACTTGTGGATCAAGATTAAGGAAGTAGAGTTCAAGCCAACTTCTACTAACCTATTCCTACTAGGATTGTGTTAAGAGAAGCCTATAAAAACACAGTAGGTCCCTGGGAATTACTTGGAGCGATCGAGAGGGAAAACAAAGAATACTCGCTGATGTAGAGCATTCCCGTCGCGTCCCGGAGCTTCCCATGCGTGAAGAAAGTCACGATCTACATAAAGAAGGAGTCCTACAATAAAAAATAGATCGTGACAACCTAGAGATGAACCAAAGCTTAAGGAGAGGGCTGCCAACACGTTTGTCCTCGTGATCTTGTTGGAGATGTGATAGCCAAAGCGGATCTGAACAGAGTTCGAGTTAGAAATCCTAGATTAGAAGTTTTGTCATAACAATTCGGAGAAGTGTGTCTCATCATGTTGTTATGTACCAGTGTAACTTGCATCTAGTGATTTAGTGGAGGGCTATTACACGGACGTGGGCCCCGCAGACTAGGAGAATTTGCTCCGAACTGCGTAAACAAATCTGGTGTTAGTTTTTACGCTTTTTATAGTTACAGCATTCTGCCCAGTAGGCGCTGTAACGCTCTCTGCATCATCTGCTTCTGTTAGGGGTGAGCATGGTACGGTATTTAGCTCGTACCGATACCGTACCAAATATTTCGATTCGGTATGGGATTTTACTCCGTACCGATCCCGATACCGAAATATCGGTTCGGTATGGTTCGGGATGGTTCGGTGTTGGTTTCGGTACAAATTGGGATGAAGATACATACATACTTTACACGTTAAAAATTTAACAATACCCTTTTATTTTTTAAAATTAAAAGTGAATTTAAATAAAAAACATGAAAAATTAAAAAAATGAATATTTAAATGCAAGAGATGCGTATCAAAAACTTAGTTTATATTTCACAAACTAAAAAATGAATGACAACAAAGGAGTATTTTGAATCTTTGTGAATACTTTTATGCACATACACAATAATTAAAACTCAAATAAAAGTATAATTTACACATAATAAAACTTGAACCAATTTTTTTTTAAAAAATTATAATTCAGTGAAGGAATGTATAAAAATATTACTTCGGGGTATTATTTTTATAATATTTTAGTATATATGTTCGGTACGGGATTTTCGGTATGGGACGTCACCTCGTACCGTTCCCGAATACCGTACCGACCATTCGGTTTGGTACGGTTCGGTTCCTTCTCGGTACTTTTTCGGTTCGGTATTCTCGGGTTTTTTGGGAAATTTCGGTATCGGTTAGGTACTTGCTCACCCCTAGCTTCTGTGTGCGTGCTTGTGACAGAGAAGTGTTATAGCACACTGTCCGTCATATGTTACTGTGACAGTGCTGCAGCGTCTTCTCTACAGCATAGTGGATTGATTTGTTTGCATAGCTCTTAATTGGTGATTTCCGATGTGCCCCCACGAACTTACAATTTTCTGCCAACACGTTTGTCCTCGTGATCTCGGTGGAGATGTGATAGCCAAAGCGGATCTGAACAGAGTTCAGGTTAGAAATTCTAGATTAGAAGTTTTGTCATAACAATTCGGAAAAGTGTGTCTCATCATGTTGTTATGTACCGGTGTAACTTGCATCTAGTGATTTAGTGGAAGGCTATTACACGGACTTGGGCCCCGCAGACTAGGAGAATTTGCTCCAAACTGGGTAAACATATCTGGTGTTATTTTTACGCAAGGTACACGTATACATATTACGGAGATTCATTTAAGAAAGTTATCCAAATATAAATACCTTGGCCTTAGCTTGTCGCCAACGATGTCGGATATATAGTGCAATATGTTTTGCAAAAATCCAAGGCGCCCATATAATCAAGATGTTTATTCATGATGATGGAACAATATGAATGACAAGAATCTCATAACGACCAAATGGATCACATATTGACCAAATGTTCCATGCCTGTATTTAGAGTACTGGAACCTCATAATGACTACATGAAATATGATGCATGAGTTAGACTATGCATGGACTCCTGCGCTTCGATGTCATCCCACAACGGTGACGACTCAAGCAAACCTTAGTCTCTTGAAGAGACTAGAAATAATGGGTGGTAACTGAAACCTAGTTACCATGTACGTACACAAGCCTTCCAAATGAAACCCGTTGGACCCGGAGGCTCCTGGACGGGCCTGCTATAAGATGTGCACTAGGCCTGACCTTTTAAAAGGATATGTCATGACATGAATGATTCCTATATCATGCGTCTACAACATGCGTGACTTATGACCTCGAAGACTTTATTTTGAAAACTAAGTCTTGGTTTCTAATCCATATACCAACATTTCACATATTGGTTTTTACTTTGGAACACTTCACATATTGGTTTCCTACTAGTATATATTCTCTCTCTCCCTTATAAAATACTCATTGTATTATTCCTTCTTCATAGAGCTAGAACGCTCCATCAATGGCTATAATGCCAAGATTATGTACTACTACCTCCGTCCCAGAGTATTTGTCCAGTTTCATTTTTACACATCATCCAATACACTTCTTTAATCCATTTTATCTTGTAATTTGTATATTAAAAAATTATAGAAATTATATATTAATAATCTATATGTTAAGACAAATCAAACAAGATCACACATGACTATATTTAGGCTTATACATTGAGAGAATTTGATGAGTCAAAGTGCTTAGATGAACAGTTCCAAAAGTCAAAACTGGACGAATACTCCGGGACGGAGGGAGTATGTACTACTACCGGTATTAATAAAATCTTCCCGTTGGCATGGTACAACCGAAAAAGGTCAGTGATTTTCTCTCGATTTGAGTTTTCACCTCAAAAATAACTTTTTCGTATTTTTTGGTGATTGTTAGACTCGTTTATTATTTTGACACACTAAAAATGACAAAAACAGTCGAAACAATTACACCATTACATTAGTTTAAAAGTTAGAAGAATCATGAAATTTTGCATTAATATTTTATATCTGTGTATGTGTGTGTGAACTCTTAGTATGCAAGTGACAAGTGTACACCTAACAGTTTTTTTTCCTGTCCTTCACGAATTGGTTTTGGAAAATGCTAGGGGTGCACCAAAAGTGTACCCAAAACATCCCCCACCCCCTCCATCACCACACAAAAAAGGCAAGAAATTTTCAAAAAAATTTAAAAATAAAATGAATGGTTAGTAGGAGGGTGGTGTACATTTGGGATTTGGGGTACACTTTTTTGGTGTACCCCTAGCATATCCGATTGGTTTTCTAGAGTTCAAATGGAGGGCAAACCTTAAAACTCGCCTCTGCTGGGAAAATGGGTTTATGCGTCATCATGTATGGACCATCTTCCCAACCTGTTGAGATTATGTAAGAACATTCACAACAATGAAAAATGCATCGGCCACCGCCAAATTATACACCTTCCCACTGGATGATGCTGGTAAAATCGCCAGCCGTTTTGCGGCACAACTTCAGCTGTGCACCGCTAACATACACAGTCCTGCTACGTCTTCTCACGTCAGAACCATCCACGCTCACATGATCACTTCCGGGTTCAAGCCCCATGGGTACATCCTCGACCGCCTCATTGATCTCTATTGTAAGTCCTCGAACCTCTCTTACGCAAGACAAGTGTTTGACAAAATTCCCCAACCGGATGTGTTTGCAAGAACGACCATGATTGCTGCGTATTCTGCTTCCGGTGACCTCAAGATGGCTTCACATGTTTTTCGTAATGCTCCTTTAAGCATTCGTGATACTGTTATCTATAATTCTATGATAACTGGGTACTCGCATCACAATGATGGCCATGCTGCCATAAATCTCTTTAGTGACATGAAAAGAAAGAACTTTAAGCCTGACCAGTACACATACACTAGTGTGCTTGCAGCTTTGGCACTTATAGCTGAATGTGAATTGGATTGCCAGCAGTTTCATTGTGCTGTCATCAAGTCTGGAACTGGGACAGTTACATCGGTGGTGAATGCCCTTATGTCGGTGTATGTTAGATGCGCATTTTCTCCATTGGCATCTTCAGTACTTCTAATGGACTCAGCTAAGAAGCTATTTGATGAGCTTCCCAAGAGGGATGAGTTGTCATGGACAACGATCATTGTCGGCTTTATAAAGAATGATAATGTTGATGCTGCACGGAAAGTGTTTGATGGGATGGATGAGAAGTTACTTGTGGCATGGAATGCAATGATTTCAGGGTATGTGCATAAGGGTTTTGTCTCCGAAGCATTAGAACTTTTTAGACAAATGTACTTGCTAGGAATTAGATACGATGAATTTACATACACGAATGTTATCAGTGCATGTGCGGATGCTAGATTATTTCTCCATGGAAAGCAGCTACATGCTTACATCATAAGGATGGAAACCAAAGCTAAAGATCATTTCCATGTGTCAGTAAATAACGCTTTGATGACACTATATTGGAAATGCAGTAGAGTTGATGGTGTTAGGAAAATATTTGACCTGATGATCACTAAGGACCTGATCTCGTGGAACACAGTTTTGTCTGCCTATGTGAGTGCAGGACAAGTAAATGAAGCTAAATTGGTTTTTTCTGAGATGCCAGAGAAGAACTCCTTAACATGGACAGTGATGATATCTGGATGTTCACAAAAAGGGCTTGGGGAAGAAGGTTTGAAGCTATTCAACCAAATGAAATTAAATGGATTTGAGCCATGCGACTATGCTTTTGCAGGAGCCATTACATCTTGTGCAGTTCTGGCTGCATTAGAAACTGGGCGCCAACTCCATACTCAGATTATTCGGCGTGGATTTATTTCAAGCCTCTCTGCTGGAAATGCACTAATTACATTCTATGGGAGATGTGGAGCCATTGAGGATGCACTGTGTCTCTTTCAAAGGATGCCATGGCTTGATTCAGTGTCTTGGAATGCAATGATTGCTGCCCTGGGGCAGCATGGTCAGGGTACACATGCAATTGAACTTTTTGAAGAGATGTTGGAAGAGAACATAACTCCTGACCGTATAAGCTTTCTTACTATTCTATCTGCATGTAGTCATGCAGGGTTTATAAAAGAAGGACAACATTATTTTAATTTAATGCATACCAGGTATGGAATAAGCCCAGGAGAAGATCACTATGCTCGCTTAATTGATTTGTTGTCTCGAGCCGGAAGGTTCTCAGAAGCAACAAATGCGATCCAGGATATGCCTTATAAGCCTGGGGCACCCATTTGGGAAGCTCTTCTTTCTGGTTGCCGGCTTCATGGAAATATTGAGCTGGCGGTGCAAGCTGCAGATAAACTATTTGAATTGGTTCCACAACATGATGGGACCTACATACTTATGGCTAACATGTTTGCATCTGCGAGCAGATGGAGTGAGGCTGCCAGTATACGAAAGTTAATGAGGGAACGGGGAGTCAAGAAGGAGCCTGCCTGTAGTTGGATTGAGGTTGAAAACAAAGTCCATGTATTTTTGGTGGATGATATGAAGCATCTTGAAATTCAAGCAGTTTACAACTATCTGGAGGACTTAACAGCAAGGATGAGGAAAGCTGGATATGTTCCTGATACAAAATATGTGTTGCATGATACGGAGATTGAACAAAAGGAGAATGCCTTGTCATCTCACAGTGAAAAACTTGCAGTTGTGTTTGGCCTCTTGAAGCTACCTCATGGTGCCACAATTAGGGTATTCAAGAACATTCGAATATGTGGGGACTGCCACAATGCATTAAAGTTAATTTCAAAGCTAGAGGAAAGACAGATTATTGTGAGAGATGGCAAGAGGTTCCATCATTTCAGAGATGGTGAATGTTCATGTGGTAACTACTGGTGATCAGAGATGCTGAATGAATTATAAAAACTGTGTCTCTGGACATAATGATGTGAACAATCTGAAAGAATTGATGGAGGGCATAAAGTAGATATACTGGAAGTCTGACGCTTTGTCTGTTATTCATTGTGCATTTGAGGTTATCTCTCTTCCAGTTCCGTCCACATCCACCAGCGCAATCTTCATTGGAAAATCAGTTTTGTGCTCCCGTCGTTTCGGCTGTTGACCATAAGAGGTTTTGGACTTCTAGTTTTTTCCTTTGGATATTTGTGACCATTAAACATGTGGATTATTTTTTCCTCTGGAATAACAGTTTACATGCGCACCACTATGTGCTCTACTCAGACAAGGCTTTTCTGTGTGGAAAAAGTGGTTATGTTCTCAACCAATTATTTTACGGTCAGTTCAGACTTCCATAATCCATTATTTAAGGAAGCAATAATTTTTTTTCTGTATCTTCACTTAATTTGCAGGCTTCCTTCAAAAGGATTAGTAGACTTTTTTATAGTGAGAAATCTGATTATCTAAGGTAACAGCTGAATGAGGGAAGACTGGTATGAGCTGGTATCTTCAGATGCCAGGTAATATTGAAGGTGGGTAGGAAATGCTAGAATAATGCTGTGATGATCATTCTCCTGCATGTGAGGTTGCCTAGTGCCACTGCAAGTTACAATTCTCCAGGAGATTGTATATTTTATATTCACAACTTGCTTGCGTCTCGCCTCCACTTCTCTTATTGTCTTGTTGCACACACTTTCCCCATTAGGTGGTTCATGCCTCAACATTTTCATCACATTTGTTATTTGTTCGATTCTCGGATATGCTGTTGTTCATGTTACAAGAGCTCCACGAACGAGGACTTATCTTGGGATGTTGTGCTGCAGGTTTGTTTGGGGCAATTTCACTTTTCCATAGAAAGCATTATTTATAAGAAAAAAATATTTAATGTCTTTCTTTGTTTATGTGCAGGAAACTTGGGCAACATGCTCATTATTATAATTCCTGCGGTAGCCCATTTGGTGATCCTGAGTTTCTGGCATTTGCCGTACTTTTGGAATGGGCTAATATGAGTTTCTGAATATGTGGCATAACCTGAACCTACTTATTTTTATGAGTTTTTCATTGTATGTCCCAATAGTGTGTCTGATACTAATAGTTTCATATGATTGGTTAGATTATATAGAGCATTATCTCATAAAGTGCACCATGTTACCATGAAATATTATACCTAGATCTATGTGAACGCTCAGCTTTATATGTGAATTAAATAATCATTAACAAGTTAACAATTCACATAAATGAATAAAGACAATTTTGATTTGTCTCTTCTGGGTTGTGGTGAACTTTTCAAATTGGTTTGCAATGGTCTATGTAAACTATTATGTCATTATCACTGCGCAATATGTGTTGCGAAGTTGGTCCATTGGGTTATAAAGAAAGAGCAATTTTTACCAATATAGCCTACAATTTTTACCAATTTAGAATGACACGAAAGTTGTGAGCCATTTTATTTTTTAAAGAACTAGATTTATACCCGTGCATTGCACTGCAAATAATTTATTCCAAATCATTAAAATGATATTTTCATGAAATAAATGTCTAAATCTAAATTTAAATATAGGATTAAATATAAATTTAACATAGATTAGTAGCGAACTATATGAATTAATTTGACACACAATCACAATATTTGAAATAGTTGCTTTCTAAATTCCACTTTCTGTAACGGTATAACGTGTCTGAGCAAGAGAACCTGACGTGGCTTTTAAAAAAGTATAATCACATCTCGGTGAAAAAACCGGCTTATGAAGGCATCAAATATATGACATATTGAAAACATAAAATCTTACACTCATCTTTATAGCACTCTAGGGAAAAAAAATGTGTACTTCATAACATGGTTTTCACCCATATATATATATATATATGAGTTGCCCATATAAATACCCTAGCATAATTTGTGTAATACATTAAAAAAAACACTCATAACATATGCAAAACACATCACATTCTACTTTTATTCATCACATCCTATATATATATGTAAAAGAGAGTTTAGGTGTTGCAATGTTGACATGTGGCATGCTACATGTGCATCCACATGTGCACCCATTTATGAAGTGGATATATGCATTGCACCTATTTTAAATATCTTTTAATACATTTGTATAAAATTTTTCATTCCTTAATAATTCTGAATATATATTTCACCATTGTAAAATAAACTTCGTATTTTGAGTACACACATAAAATTATTTTTATACTATCCACAGTTTATTTTAGTTTATTACTTCTCGAAAAATGATTGTATAAATTTAAAGGGTGACAACTGACAAATGACATTATGACACATATATATTCTCTAATGATGTATCATTATGCATGTAACTGATCCACTTTTTATTATAATATTTTATTGATTCAAACCATTTCTATTTAGTACTTAATTCAATGATTATTAATTTTGTAAAATTGTTTTTTTAAATTAACATACCAATATACT